AAGTTATATACTTACTACAACTTAATACAAGAGGTGGCGCGCGGGAGACTATTGGATTTTTATAGGTCAGGTTAGGTTAGTGGAGTAGTCCGCTCAAGAACGTATTATTGTGCACAGATCTATGTGTGGAACACCCGCCCGATCATCCGTGTTCAGCGTGCCTTCCTTCAAGATTCAATATTGCCCTCTCCCGTCAACGAATTTCTGATCGGAATCGAATACTCGTGTGGTTTAATGCATTTCCGGGTATCGGAAATTTTATGCATGATAAGAATTAAGAGGGCCTCAGGAGTCTACTGTGACTACCCTAGAAAATAACGAGAGGGTTCAAGCAGTCAAGCTGCAATTCAACAATCTCGCCCAGACGTTCAATTAGGAAGCAGGCAGATATATGTCCTTGGTATTTCGAGACTGTCCATTCAACATCTTCATTTGTATCCTTTCAAGATGATTATCGCCATGAATTGAAGTCTTATGATTTTGAACCCAGAAAACTCGCTAGTGAAAACATGCTTATTGATACGCTGCCTCAAGACGATATCGTTCTCTTCACTGACAAAGCACATTTTCACCTCACAGAAACAGGATGTGCCAGAACCCTCAAAAACAATATTCGAGTCCTATTCGTCGAAACTTCTGTTCAAAATAAAGTGAACGAAAATTTCAGAAAATTACTTACTGTGTGTTTTGAGAGCGAGAGTCGCCTTCTGGGTCATACCTACTTTGTCCAAAAACGTGTTGACCTAACCTCCATTGGTAGGGAAATTGGTCATTTTATAGCAACCTTTGTTTTATCCATTCTAAAATCCATATACATCTACCGCGCCACCCTGTATTTGCCTATAATCTGTGATATAGCGGATTCAGAGAAATGTAGTAAGCAATAATATATAGAGCATGAAAATAAGTTCGTGTGTTTCGGGTTAGCAAAATAAAAGATTTTTCGAAAAAAACACGAATTGTATGTAACACGAAAATTTGCAGAACCCGAAACAAACAAATATATTGGATGAATACTATTTTCAATTATAGAAAAATGAGGAAGAAACCTTCACATCAACTAAGGAAACTATAGTTTCTCCTTACATATTATTCTATCAGATCATTCTACGAGCAGCAATTTTAAGAAATATCAACACCATCCGGTAATAACTGTGACCCCAGGGGATCATTAAGAGAGAGTACTTACATGTACTTACTTTATTGAACATCACAAAAGCCTCACAATATATTCGCATCATCTCTATCATAGATCGAGTTCCGATATTACTGAATATACTGATGACTATAGATGTTTATAACTCCCCTGATGACAGTCAGTACAACAGAACGATTTGAGTTTCAGTAAACTACTATTACTGGGGAATAACTGAACGAATATCTAGCAGTGATGGAGGGGTATGTCGTTTGTCGTGAAGGTATGAAAATATGAATAATATATTTATCTAACTCAACTTTTCTCTGTACTTGCTGTACCAGTTTAATTAGAGAATATGGATGATCTCGTTTTAACTGTAACTGCTGAATTTTTTATTCTTTATCTGGTGAATCTGATATTGATGATGGAAGTAGCTCCAGTAAATACTTCTAGTAGCAGTGACAATGGAATACATCAATTCATATAGATATATTGCAGGGATTTATATGTATACTATCAATATGAGGTCAAATTATTCCTCGCCCGAAAGGGTATTCACCATTCAATTTCATCCGAATTCACCCAAAACTACCAGAAACATGTTCATAACATCTGATGACGAGTAATTTCTGTTCATTGGATGGTTTCAGATTTGAAATGGCAGAATTATATATTTATATAAATCACTATATATAATTAAACCCTCGAACAACGAACAGCAAGTAAAGAAAATATTAATAATGATTATAACTACACTTTTTAGTTTTTCATGTGGGAGAGGAAGAATATTAATGGCATCAACAGAAGGCAAGAAAGTGCTGCCATCAGATAACAGCAATTTCGGAACAGTCTCAACTACTGGACAGTACTGCTTGGGAATATCGGAACTCGACCATAGTGTCATATGTATAAAAACAGCATCAATATGAGATTTGGTATTTGGCACTTAGCAATTCCAGAATCCAAGAAAATATTAATACTGAATTTCTGGTACCTACAGCCAGTCGTTGGTCTAGCGTATTCAATGGATGTCATACGGTTCTTTAAGGAACCAACAGTAATGCCAGTAGCTTGGATTCCACTTGTATGAACTGCCCAGATTATCCGTCATTACCTCAGGTCGCACAAGCCCTTCAAAGGCTTCCGAGGGTTGGTTGGGCAACAAGATACCCCATCAGTTTCTAATGCAACCTTTCAAATATGAAAAATTGTCATAGAAAAAACTACTATGAAATAAAATATTTCAAGTTGGCAGATAAATATAAATAAAACAAAAAATAACAGGATACAGTTAAATAATAGTTGAATTTGAAAACAATAGCCATCAAGCCAAGCAATACTAGGTAAACTTTACAAGCAATGAGGACTAACAAGTTTTGGTTGTCCACCAGATCGCAGTACAGTATCATCTTGCGATAGAAGTTAGGTTATCTTATTTTCTACTAATCTGAGAAACGCCCGTAAGTATTACAGTTGAGTTTATTACTGTTCCACTAAAGACACACAACGATTCAAATGAAAATTTAGCTTATTTACTTAGCACCATATTTGTTGGGGTCCAGCTCTTTTGGACTCGAAAACGTTATCGATTGCGTCATTGATGACCAATATCAAAAATGGGTCTGCGTGGTTGCGCAAAGTGGAACGGAGTGCTGCTGATTGATTATCAACGATATTATCATGATTCAGTAGAATAACTTCTCAAGATGGAATCAACGACCCTATATACCAATCATTGTTAGCACAATGAAGAATTAAGAAGAGAGGTGAACGTCTTCCTAGTTCTAGTTCTATAAAACTGGCACATCCAATGATTTTTATTTTTAACAACCTATGACAACTGTCAACGTTTCTCTCTCTAATACTTGTACGCTTTTTTTCAATACAACTATACTGTCAATTCCATTCCACTTAAGTTTGCGCTTGAAACATTTAGCCGACGCAACTCCTGGAGGTACAAAATATGGGGTAACACCTCGAACATAACCAGAGCCTGAATTATTTTTGCATGAGGAATTTCGACTTTGACGGATACTGCGCCACGACCTAGTGAGAGTAAGAATGTTAGCCCTCATTAATATGCGACACTCGACACAACAGATTTTCACATCACTCCTTCTAGTGGAAGAATTTGAACCGATCTTAGAACAATACTTACTAGCTTTAACGATCTAACAATATTCAACTACTAGGGCTACTCCTGCCTTTCCGTCCTATAGAGAGCATTAACGACATCAGAGGAAGAAAGAACCATCCTACCATCGACATGACTGCATGTGTGATAAAGATAGGTTAGATTTTACTTGTTTTGTTACCTCTCTATCGGGTTTTTGGTCTCAAAATCAGAAAGCTCACTGGAAATTTGAATAATTATCGAAAAAATATTTTTCATAACTTTAAAACTAGAAACCGCATCATATTTCAAAGTAAGTTATACCCTTCCAAAATTGATTTTAAAGAAAATGCTCAGAGCATAATCTTGCATTTTTTTTTCAGGATAGAATAATTGATCTCTTCCCAATATGGCTATCAACCATTTATTTTCACATTTTTGGGGAAATTAACAATTAGAATACCCAAAAATCAATATGTCCATTGCCTTATGAATAAGTTACCTCATTGACTCACTCTTGAAGAGATATGCATTCATTTTTATCCTTCTGGCATACAGAGTGACCCATTTGAAAGCGGGCCACCCCTGTATCTCACGTAATCGTTGGGTAAGGATCATGAAATTTGCTGGAGCGACAGATATACCAAAAATGCACTCTATGACCAAGTGGGGTCATCTTCAGTGATATACACTGCTCGCCAACAGCCATGGAACCACCCCAATTTCCGGAAAATGATATTAGGAGTCAAAATAGGTTGAAAATCACTTCGGATTCGGAATCAGGACGCCCAATTCACTAACTATTCATAGTTTTCCTTGAAAATTTTCAGTTCTGAAAAATTAAATTTTGACGCACTTTTCACGGAAGCACCCCCGTATCTCACGTAATTGACTTCATCTTTGGACTTTCCGTTCCTCCTGCAAATTTTAGAACCCTACCACAATAATTACGTGAGATACGGGGGTGCGCTTCCATGAAAAGTGCGACAAAATGTAATGTTTCAGAATTGAAAATTTTCAAGGAAAAATATGAATAGTTAGTGAATTGGGCGTCCTGATTCCGAATCCGAAGTGATTTTCAACCTATTTTGACTCCTAATATCATTTTCCGGAAATTGGGGTGGTTCCATGGCTGTTGGCGAGCAGTGTATATAACTGAAGATGACCCCACTTGGTCATAGAGTGCATTTTTGGTATATCTCTCGCTCCAGCAAATTTCATGATCCTTACCCAACGATTACGTGAGATACAGGGGTGGCCCGCTTTCAAATGGGTCACTCTGTACATATGTTAGTGCACCATTTTCAATCAAGTTTAAAACAGTCTGATGAAAACAAAAATGGAGTCTGTTTGCTCTAACACGTTCAAGAACGACTGAACTTCGGACGCCCAAATCTCAGCAACATAAATATATTATACTCGAAACTCAAGTCCAAAGAAAATAACTTGCAATATCACATTTTCTGATGCAACTAGCATGGCGTCGCAATATATTATTTCCTCGCTCATTTGGTCATATTAGGCGAGGTGACCACGTGTTTCCGATCGTTGCGTCTTGCTCTCATTTTGTTATCGAAGCCTCTTTTTCTATGTGCGATCCAGTAGTTTTATATTGTTAGATTGTTGGCTATAGATGTTATCCGAGAAACGTCATGTTTTGGGATGTAACGGTCGTCAGTTGTCTCAACCTATAACCTCAGTAAATGAAAATTATATCTAGTTTTTTACTTATAGGCAACTTCCAAATTGTCACACTAGAGTTGCGCGTGTAAATCTTTGCATCGCCAATACGAACAAACAAAAACACACATTAATATCAAACGCATCACAATACAGAATTTTTGGCATTAACATCAAGTCATCATGGACAATGGATACAGGTAGTTCAGTATAGCGTAATAATGATAATAAGCAGCTAGTACGACAAAAAGATGCCATATAGCATGAGCGAATGGTAGCACCCCATCACTTTTGAAGAACGCTATGCCCACAACATACAACAATCCGCCAACTGACAATTCCCAGATTCCCATGATGTGGTGCTGAAAAAGAGAACAAACAAGTTGTGTTATCGGGGCGAATACCACGAGAGCTCCAAATCTCAGATTCAGCTGAATTTTTTGTTGTTTCCTAATACCCAATTGTTTTAATTGGCAAATTAACAGAAATTTTCCTGATTTTGTTGAACAGATCAAGTTTAAGCACCTATATGAAAGTAAGTATACCATGAAAAATCTTAGCCTACTTCTATGTATAAAGCAATGTTCAAATTATATTCAATCGGACCATAATTAGGGTCCCTTCATGTAAATTGACGTATTTGTCATCTTAATAACAGGGTACGGACAGATCCTCGCCTCCTCTCACTCAGTGTTTGTGAAACAGTTATATAGTTCCATCTTTATTCATTTCTGGGGATAAACACTACTTTTCTGACAATTGTTGTTTTTAGGTTATATTGAGGACATTGGCGTAAGATACGTAATTTCCACATGTAATTTCTCATTCAACTCTACATATCATATCCAAATGATGTTGATAATATTCGAGTTTTTGATTTTTCAACTCCAGCATAATCTTTGTGAGCAAATTTTTCTGAAAGTTCAATACGTTTCACCAAATGGGACTGTTCTTAGGCAGTACCTATCAATAAATGAATTTTGATTTCAGACTAAAGGTATGTTCATGCTTGTACGAATTCCGCAAAATTTATGCGAATAAAATGGCGACTGCGAATATCGCAATGAAGTTGAAATATTTGAACTTTTTTACGAATTCGGATGGAATCATGACCACATATAATGTGTTGTTATTGTGATAACATCAAAATTGGGGAATACAGAGCGGACAGCAGAGGCCGAAAAAAGACACTAGACTAATCTATGCTACAGGTAAGTACAGAACTATAATTAAAAATTTCATCATTTCATTTGACTAAAATTTTCTTCGTAGGATAAATGGATTCTCTGTACGAATTAATTTCAAAGTATCGTCTTTATGGAACTAATGATGTATCCAGAAGCAAAAAAAAGAGAAACATATTTAAATGCCGAAAGATGAGTGGAGATTAGTAGGTACAGCCTCGTTCGATAAATGCGACTGAATGATCCTAATAAATATTTCAATTCAATTTCGTGTAACGTTGGTTCCGCCAACTTGAATTTCCAAATTTTGAAGAAGGTATCATAATTACCGACCCCGTAAACTCCTAGATACCAATTTTGAATAGAAACGGATCATAATTATTACAAAACTCGTCCGCCATTTTAGAGCTACCACTTTGTTTTTTGTCTAACAAAAATGTCACCAGAATTATGTACACCTGCCAAATTTCAATTCAATCGAATGTTTTGAAGTGGGTCAAAATCACGTTCGAAGATTCCGTTACAAACAAACAATAAGCCGACAAACAAACATACATATGCCAAGCTAATAATATAAGCGAGTTAAAAACCGTAAGAACGCTAAACTTTGTTGATCCATAATTGATACCAAAATCAACACTTAATCCAACATTCAAATCCCATATTGTTAGGAATCATCTCTTTAATGAGTCATTTAATTCTTCAAGATAAATTTTGTGGTGTGTTCAACCTCACACGCAGAGAAACTGGATACCTTTGCTCCCTCGGCATATACATAACTATTATCCGGAGGAAAACATGGTGAATAATGCTGATGTGTTCTGAAGTTACCAGTGGAAAAAAATATACGTATGCTACAGGCTACAGTCCATTTTTCGACTTACCTCGACCAAAATGGGGAAGACCGGACCGATGCCCATGATCACATAGAAGATAGTCTCGAGCATTTTGTACTTTTCGTGGAAGATCTGTTGGTAGGCGATGCCGATGAAGGCGAGGCACCACACTATCCATCGCATCCGGGAGGCCCAACCTTCGTGCGGTAGGGGCTCCAGCGTCAGCCATGGAAAGTAGGAGCCCGCTATGAACACATAGATCATGGCTCTATCACAACGGTGGAGGACATTTTTCAAGTGCCTAGGAACGAAAGGCGATTTCAAACCACAACTCGTACCTATTTTACAAATGAAGAAGATTTCAAAATATACCACTCGACGGTTTACCCTTCGATCAGAGCCACCTAGTGACAGAAGTCTTGTTCTTCTCGGTGGAACAGGTGCTTGGGACAGGTGAATGTCACCTAATGGCAGAGCTCAAGAAATGGCAAGAGACTGAAAGTCCTACTGGGGGTAACTCTCAAGTGAGTAGATTCATCAACCATTTGCATAACAGAGCCGATGAGTTACTCAGCCTCAGCAAACCAGAGCTAAAGCTACCCTCTGAGATGCTACCTCAAAAAGATGGGTCTAACGCAGACAAACACCTGCCGCTTTTCCAAAATCACGACCGAAACCGCGAAACATATACTTTGCTCATCTAATGTATTAGTCCTTCGATAGCTGAATTGCCTAGAACAGGTCTTTCTGACGCCTGCTGAGCGGAAAATTCAAACCTCAAGGAAACCCTAAGCTTTATCGGAAACCTAAGGTTGAAGGGCTGAAATAGATAAGAGTATCACAATATATCTTCAAGTTGTCAGTAATCGATAGATTTTCCCGTCTACACAATCTACAATCTACTAGACAGTAGCGTCTGGGGTATACTTGCCATAAATTGTATGGGGGGAGTTCAGCGTTGCTAGTTATCGCTTCTTTCTTCATATACTACCACATACTACGATTCGTGGCGTAGTTGACTGATCGTTTGAATGTCACGTCGGCGACCCGGGTTCAATGCCTGCGACGGTCGGCTTTTTCTAATTCGGTTTTCTCAAGTGATTTTCCGAAAAATATAATTTTTAGGAAGAAGTTCCATTTGGGCCGATCAAGTTCAGATGGTTAAAAAAAAATAGTGTCCTTTTTATGCAGGAGGGATATTTTCTTTCCTCCCTGAAAAAAGTACTGCCTTCTCAGGAAGAAGGTTCATTTAGGTCGAGTAAGGTTAGATGGTTTAAAAAAAGTAGTCTCTTTTCACTTCCATGTGAATTTATGAAAATGCTCTCTTTTTGGGTTATCGTATCAGTTCAAAACCATTGGAGTACTTTCTTCCTCAAGTTGGAGAAAATCAGCACACTCGGGCAACATTGATATGACTGACACGGATTATGCCCCCACCCCACCACTATTCCATTTTATGACGCAGACTCCGCAGACGCAAGTCTACTAGACGGCGTAGACTTCCTTCAGAGCCACCTAGTGTCAAAAGTGTAAAGGCCCTATTCTATCCATCGCATCTGGGAGTTCCAACATTCCATTCCAACATTCGTGTGATCATAGGGTTTTCTCTATCAAGGCTAGCTGAATTGCTCTATTGCTCGCCTGCAAACGCTTCTGTTCAATGCGCAGGAACTACCAAACATGTCCAAACTGTCGTTCAAGACACTGAGTCATGTCTCTTGGTGTTCGGAACAAAGAGTGGAGAATATGTCAGGTCCTGAATGCGCAGACGCTCCATATTAAAAACAAGTTCGGTCTCGTAAAAAAATAAGCCTTGATCTTACGGCATTAGCGGTCTAATTAGTAATTTATATCGATGGTCTAGCCTTCCTTTACCTTGTGGGAAAAGTTCTGAGCCTTTCTGTGGGGCAAGTAAATGTCACCTGATGACAGAGCTCAAGAAATGGGAAGAGACTGAAAAATCTTCCTTCTGCAGAGCAACTTCATCAAGTCAATGGCAAGAACAGGTTCATCAACCATTTGCATGCAAACCAGAGCAAAGCTTATCACGGCTTTATCACAGGACACTGACCTCTGAGGTACCACCTCATAAAGATGGGCCTAGCGGAGACTGACACCTGCCGCTTTTCTAACATCGCAACCAAAACCACGGAACATATACTTCGCTCATCTAATGTATAACATGTCAATCGTCTATCTGACGCCTACTGAGGTGAACAATTCAATTTCAAGAATATTCTAGGCCTCATAAAAAATCTATGGTTGAAGGACTAAACAAGACAAGGAAATCATATTATCCACAATATATCTTCTAGGTGGCAGTGATCGAGATGTCTTCCAGCCTATACGACCCACATACACAATCTACTTCTAGATCTAGACTTCCTTGAGAGCCACCTAGTGTCTAAAGTGTAAAAGTGTATAAGTTCCCACACTATTCATTGCTTCTCTGGTAGGTCCAACCGCTAATCTTCGTGCAGTAGGGGCACTAGCGTCTGCTATGCCTGTATATCCAATGATGAAAATCAATAATTTGGAAATATGGGCTAAGCAGATAACGCCCCATTATTTATTGTCCAATTTTTCAAAGAAGGAGGCACTAATATATTTTTATTATTTCAACTCAGGGACTGTCAACTTTCTTCTTGGAATAAAAACATATTATTCCAATTTCTTCTGATGAATATTATTTTTCTCAATTTAGTGATGTATAAAAAGTTGACACTATATATTTTTGTGATCACAAAAATTGACAGATCCCGAAAAAAATATAAAAAACAAGGTGTTCCATTAAAAAAAATAATTTGTGGTTTGCCACGGTTTTAGGGATTACCCTGGAAAACTTCTGATAAGGGCTGTGGAAAGGCCTCATTGTAGGCCTTTTTGATTGATAACCCTGTACTGTAAGTTACCGATTTCAATTTCTTCTAATAGATATAATTCTTCTGAATTCAGTGATGTATGAAAAGTTGACAATATATATTTTTGTGATCACAAAAATTCACAGATCCTGAAAAAAAAAATAAAAAACAGGGTGTTCCATTGAAAAATATAATTCATGGTTTGCCACGATTTTAGGGATCACCCTGTAAAACTTCTGATAAGGGCTGTGGAAAGGCCTCATTGTGGGCATATTTGATGGATAACCCTCCTGTACTCTAAGTTACCGATTTGTCCCATATCTTTATACAGCTTGCGATTTTCACCCATAATTCATAATAATTCCCTAACAACACGAGTACGTCCCAGGGACGTCCTTCATTTCCTACGAGGACGTCCCTGGGATATCCTGTGTCGGGACATGGTACATACTAGGGACGTCCCAAGGATATCCCAGGGACATCCCTCCGAAAAAAGAAAAAATGTAGGTCGAGTACGGATTGAACCCGGGACCTTTGTCTTATCAGGCACGCATCTTACTCCATTGGCTATTGAGCCTCCTGAAGATTTATGTACTAAACAGATATATAAACAGGACTTAACTACAGAAACCTGAATAGATACAACTTTGTTAGGATTTTGGTACATAATTATTATATCATTCTTGGGTGTTTGGAAATGAGGGGCATTATGCATGTACGATTTCTGTTTGCGAAAAATGGTAATTCCTTAAGAAGTTCTGAAACTTCATTCTTTATTTTCATTATGATTATTTTCCGGAAGAAAAACAAACATTTTCAAAAAAATGCAACTTAATACTTTGATGAAATTCAATGACTCTGATGTGAATGGATATCAGATATTCCAGGGACACGAATAGGATAACCTAGGGATGTACCGGGCGGGATGTCCCCTGGACAACAACTGCGCGACATCCCCTGGATGCCCCAATCATGTCCTTGTACCGCGGGACAAAAAAGGGACGTACCTAGGACATCCCTATGTTGTTAGGGAAGTATTCCCAACAACATATAATCTCCAGAAGTTCAAAAAAAATTCCAATACCTACCTCCTGTCCCTATTTTCCCTAGGAACGCACGATGTTCTTTGAACATTATAAGGATTTCCTTTCGTGCGCTCCAAGCGATAAAAAAAATGCTGTGAAAAAATGTATAAAATAATACTTTATTGAAAACTGCTACTTACCTGTACTTATTACAGTAGAAAACACAATGGAATGAAGTTGAAATAGAGAACAGAAATATCAGAGTGGCCCCATAAATGAGAGCTGAAAGCAGGTGATCACTATCCTTGGATCTGTTAACTAATTCTAATGTGCCCACAATGCTTGGAATGATCCAAATACCATGAGTGAGGATGTTTGCTATATGTTCGATGGTGGTTGGACAGTAGGCTTCTTGGGGCAATGCTTTTTTGTTCATCCAATGTATACTACAAAATAGGAAGGTCACTTTTTAACTAATTATATATGTAGGGTTTGTGCCCTCTAGAGCCCTTCCCTGTATAAGTGAAAAATGTGTTTCTTCAGATTGAGGTAAAAATCAACTCTTTTTGATAAAATAAATGAGAGTAATTTTTTTCAATTATCTGTTCTTTTGATTCAACTTTGAAAAATGTCTGATAATTATGTGATTTTCTTTTTTTAAATGGACCAGAATATGAAGTTGGTTATACCTTTTGAAGAAGAACCTTGTGCCAGGAGAGGAAATTTTCGCTTTTGACACATTTTTAGTAGATACTACGCATTTCAGAGATATAGTGAGTAATTTGAATTTAGCTGAGTAAATTATTGTTTGACGAAAATTGTGGACCCCTTTTGATATTTTTGCACCCCAACCTACAGTTTTTCAACATGCACCTGTCAATCAAGTAAAGTTGAATTTAATATTACTTAAAGGTAGAATTTAGAATTTACCTGTGGTATATCTTAGGTATATCCTAACAGGTAGTAGTTGAAGTAATGAATTCGCATTGTCTGCACCAAAGTAGGTAGATAATTCATTGGAAATGCTGGACTTGGGCAGTGAGTAATAAGGTGTCCGATTCACGATTTGAGGTGGGGTATGGAGCCAAGTAAAAAAAAACTACATAGAACAAAGGCTGAAGGACCTCTTATAAAAACGACAGCCATTTGACGTTTGCATACACACACACACACACACACACACACACACCCTGTCTCTCTCACCAACAATGGTAATTTGTTTTACTAGGTAGAAAAGCACAAGATTTAATGCCGCGGCTGGCGTTTCATAGCCAAGGCATTAAATCTGCTTTTCTGCCGTGTGAAACATATAGTTTTCTATCATTTATCATATCATGCAAACTCCAAATAATCCATCATTTTGTGTTCACCCAACGTCAGTGTCAATTTTGATTAATAGTTTTATTCAAATTATCACTTGGAACGTTGCATAGCAACAAACTTTTTCTGCCTAGGCAGTAAAAGTACAGCTTTTCTGCCTTTTAAGTGTCATTAAGAAGGCACTTTTAATGTTATTTGGAGAAAAAGTACATTATTTACATGTGTCATGTGTCTCAGTATTAGGCATCACTTGATTCATTTTTGATAGATAAATACTTTTTTTATTATTTCTAATGGGGGACTGGAAGATCAGCCTTGCTGAAGTCAACCCATATTGGCCCAATTGATGTAGGTACCTATTAGTTTATTACTTTTGATCATGTAATGTTTTTGTCACATCTGGGTAGATAAATAAATAAATGAATGAATGAATGAATGAATGAATGAATGAATGAATGAATGAATGAATGAATGAATGAATGAATGAATGAATGAATGAATGAATGAATGAATGAATGAATGAATGAATGAATAAATGATCGAATGAATGAATGAATGAATGAATAAATATTATTGCCAGATATATATGGACAGATTGACATTTCATGGGATGGGAGATTGGGAGACCCAGATTCTTCAGTAATCAGTTAATCTTTGGAGATCTATGCAATTATGAAAGGACTAGATGTTTCATACAATGACTACTTATTATTTTTAATGATTCCCTAACATTTTCAACTTGCATGATCTGTATCTTGCAGAAGACTATAATAACATATATATTATTTATAGTAATTTTTTGTTTGATAGAAACTGAATAATTTTGAATAGTCAAAATACATGATTTTTTTGGTAGTACTTCTCAACATGTTATACCAGGCCCTGGTTATAGACCCTGGTTTGAAATGGATTTCAGAACCTTTCATTCCCAAGTATTCTTTTGAAATAGTGAATATCAAGCCACAAAAAATTGCACTAAAAATCTTTGATTTGCTGCTGTTGAGTACAAACAGTATAGGTATTCATAAAAATGGGTGTAGATATAGAAACCAGGAGTTCATGATTGTCCTATAAGTAACTATAAAATTAGGGTAGGTATAATAACTAAATAAGAGTTTTCATCCAGAACAGTTTAGTTCAATTCACTTTTTTCACATAAAAAGAAAGATGCGCCAAAATGTACCTTGTTTTTATTCCCTACTACCTACTAAATCTTTTAGGATGACAATACATAGATGCATATTCATGGAATGAAATAAACTGAGTGTCCCATTTGAAAAACCTAATGCTTATTTCATTTTTAAGTTGAATTAACACTGGAAGGGTAAACCTAAAATGGTTTTAGACTTTCTCATCATAGTAGGTAATAGATATTTCAACTTATCAATATTATTACAAGTATGTAAGTAGGTACTAGATAGAGAAATGGAATTTAAAATAGGTAGGTGTACATACCATTTTAATTTTTGTAGGCAGGTATGTTGGTTGATATACAGCAAGTACTGTTTCAAAAGTGTGCTGCTTATCATAACTGAAATGAATAAAATTGTTCATGATAATCTTTTGTCATAAAAATTGTATTTTTCACATTTTCCATAAATGTCCATGCAAACCAACTTTCCCAAATTTCATAATATATCATTAATAAATTATCGTGTAGACACGACACTAACAACAATTTTACGGAATTCACATTATTTATCATAAATTATTGTTTATAAACTAACCATATAAGGAATGAACAGAATGAGCTTCTCTGTTTTGTATTGTATATTTGCAAGTTTCGATAATTTAAAATATGAACAAAAACAAAAACCTATTGACAGATTGACAGCTGTTACAATCACAAGGACACTTCTTCTTTCTATTTTAGCTACTAGGATTTGATGTATTATGTCAGACTTGAAGTCAGGCATGAGGGCTATCTACCCTGCCATCATGTCTGCTAATCGTTAATCCATCATTATCAATCCATTACAAAAATTATGAATATTATACAGTAAATTATAAAAATGGCTTATACATCCAGTAAAGATAGATGGTGAGTAAATACATTGATACTGGTTGAGAAGATAGGTACCAAGAAATATATTGGAATCAACGAAAAACTCGAATGATATAAAGAAATCAGAGGATAATTATTAATTCTTCATTATACAAGAGGTGTATCTGAAATAACACCGAAAAAATTTAAGGGGTACCGTGATCGATCCTGTGTTGAAAATGAAGGTGGTTATTTGGTATAATTTTTTTAAAGTTCTTCCCGGAAGTTAAACCCTTCTGAAAATAAAAAAAATATGGTTTTTCTTTTTCATTTCCCCTGTACATAAAGCTAAAGACACGAAACTTGGTGAATATAATTTGTCAATTAAACTACCAACGGATGAACTAGTTTCTCCTAGTCTAAACTACTTCGGGAACAAAAGTCAAGCTGATTGATAAAAAATTCAATGACTAACGGTCCCGAATGATCTTATGGAGGTGTATATATATGTTATTCCTTCCTCACAAAATATTAACAAACTATAGTTCATCTCTTCGGTCTTCGGATTTAGCCTAGGAATAACTAGTTTATCCTAAAATCGGCGATTTCAACCCGCAACACCCTCCTCTAATTTGGAACTCGTCCAACGATTTTCAAAAATTCCGTAATATAGCACTCAACGAGCTCTATTCGAAAATGTGAAATATGAAATATACAGATTTTCAAAGCGTACTTTTGTTTGTTGAAAGGGTCAAAATTTCAATAACAAAACTAGGTCTTGAAAATCTGAATATGTCAAATTCTTCCACATTTTTGAAAAGAGCTCGTTGAGTAGCATATTATGGAATTTTTGTTTCTGAAAATCGGTTCACGGGTTCCGAATAAGGAGGGTACGTGTTGCGGGTCGAAATGGTACACACACTGTATATATATAGCAATAATCAATATTTTTGAAGCTTCAACTATATTATATTGTAAATTTCACACCAAACATTTTCGATCAATTTAAAGCCTGTATTTCTTATCGTTACCATAACAACTAAACAAATTTCTTGGAAATTTCTTCCTCCTTGGGAGACGGAGCATGAAATTACACTGGAAATTTTTTGACGTTTATAGGTTAAATGACATTTACATTCAACGTCAAATTATTTCGAGTTCATTCTATAAGTCAATAAATAAAAACCATTTATCAACAGTTTGCCATGTAATATTATGTAGGTATACTTGCAAATTCGATATTTACAAAAACACATGTTATTGTTACTATACGTTAGTTCTTACATTTCATCACAAACAACCATCATTTTCAACTAATTCATTTAAGTGTTGTTGAAATTCCATAGCTTTTAAATTGATCGAAAATGTTTGGTGTAAAATTTTCTTACCGAATACCACTTTAGCTTCAATTAATATCCGGGAATTTTTTCTCGAACACGAATATTTAGGAAATTCTAAAATATTCGTGTTCTCGAAAAAATTTCCGGAAATAATTGAAGCTCTCGTGATATTATAAGTGACAATTTTATTTCCATATGAAGTAGCAAAAACCTTTTGGGTGTATGATAAATTGACATTCATCATACAGGGCGTGGAAAGAAATTCTAAATTGAGACTCATCACGAATCTGCGATTAGGGGTCTATAAAAATCACAAGCTTCCATGTTCATCAGATATAATTCAATTTTCGACGTGGCAAATATCCGCAGGAAAGTAGTTGTTTTCTGTTGAATATTCAAAATGATGTGTGCGCATATACATATTTTTGTCTGAAGGAGAATGCAAATTCTCAATTTCAGAAGTTTTCATATTTTATTTTCAAACTCTTATCGTGTGTGTAATAGATATAATTCAATGTTCGTTGTGGCATATAGCCAGGAAAGTAGTTTTCTATTGAATCAACTGAAAAAGAAAAAATATTCTCATCACATAGAGAATGCGAATTCTCAATGTATTGCTTTATATAAATATATATCCATTTTTGTATGTTCATAATTTATCTGAGAATATTCCTTTTTTTAGCAAAAACCTCTTACTCAATGTGTCAATAATTGATCACGCCGTGACGCGCATATATTGCACTCTATAAAATGACATTTTAGTCATAGATTAAAAAAGAAAAATTATCATACCTGTTATAAGCTCTTCGCTCTTCTTATCATTATAACTCACCTCAAACAACGAACTGATAGAGGGAAGCGATTTCTGTGTAGCGCTAAATGGATTATTTAGTTTAATCCGGAACTATAACGTTAGCAAAATAAGGGGTTTCGTAAAATTATATAAGACACAACTGATTCACTATAAACTATATATAGGTGCAATAGGTAATACATAATCCATCAACTGAATAAGGTAGAAAATATTCCATGTACAACATAGATTTAAAAGCTTTCATAGTATAACAATAATGCATTACTTTCACGTAAATCGTGAATTTTAAATGAATTTGTTGCAATTTATCAGTTTGTCAGTCATAATATAAGATTATGAGATGAATCAGTTTTAACTATTATAACGCGAGAATGTCAAGAGAAGCGCTGTACTTTAGAACTAATAGATAAATTCGTTTGTATTTACTATTTAGACTTTGTACCCGTACCGACACGCAAGAAATATTTGAAAATTCTGACCTTGATTCGAAATTGTTGCAATCACCTATTTTACAATAATTATACCTCTATACATATACATATGCAGAGTGCATACCACAATCATAATATTATATACTCACATGCAAATTCGAAATTCTAAATTAATCAGTTGGAAACATGAAACATGCACCAAAATGCACCATAAAAAATTTAGTATCATTATTCTACCCGGTGAATCGTATATGAATTTCTCAACTATAGACTCATACCTGAGCTCAGTGTATATGATAAGACAACAGCGATATAGCTAAACACTATATAATACCATTTTCATTCCTATACATATATGCATCAACCGTATAAGTTCTCTGATGGAAGAGTGAACAGTCGACTAACGAGCCAATATAGGGGTCGTGAGTTTAAATTCCCGCGGCAGATAGAGCAGAGATTTTCTGTTGAGGTGGCGTATGGAGTCAAGTAACAACACCTACACAGAACACACATATATTGGCTGAAGAACCTCTCGTAAGGTTGATGGCTAGTAGTGCTTCACTTCAATTGCTGAGAAGATTATATAAGCCCACTGCCTCATTCCTCATGAGCCCACAGTTTATTCAAGAGAAATAAAAACTCCAGTTCATTCTTTCATCGACGCACAACATATATACATTATACAGAGGGCTGACTAAATGGGATAGGTTCATTATCCTTATTCATTACTCTATTACCATTCTTAAATATCTCTAAGCTTTCATATAAGCATCTAATTTTCTAACATTATTAACATGTAACTAATTTGAGGTTATTAATTTGTGTGTTATGATTGTGATTGAACATGTGTTCGGCTACACACGACTTACCTATAACCTCTACCATATTTCAAATGTGCTAAGTGTTCTTTGAACCTTGTTTTTATGGGACGCCTGGTTTGGCCTATATATGTTTCAATAAAAATCCCAATCCCAATTAATGTTCATGTGTCCTAACTTTTGCTCCGTTTTTGAAATACAGGATGTTGAAGTTGCAAGTATTAATTATTTTTATTTAACCCCCCTGTATGAGCTCTCATGGTGCCAAAATTCAGTATGGATAGAGACTGAGAAAGCCCCAAAATTTCAGAATGATTCTAATTGGGGCTATTGAGTAATCTCAATGGAAGTCTTGAAAACACCTATCGGGTGGTCACAAAAAAACCGGAAGTTTTTATTTTCCTCGTGGTTTCATCATTTCTCAACCGAATTCAAATTTCTTGACGTCGTTTCAAAGCTGAAGGGCTATAGTAGTCAGTGGAATATTTGAAAATTCCACAATGAACAAAAACAAAATGGCGGATTCTACCAAAGTATTGTCATTTACAAAAACCGCTGGAGAAAAAGAAAATCAGATTTTTTCCAACCTGTACCGATGTCATCTTAGGCTATTCATTTCTGAAGAGAATGAGTACTCGAACATCGAAATCGAACAAATAGTCAAGTAGATACACTCATTTCTTTGCAATTTGTTATGGAGTGAATGTGCTTATCTCGTATAAACGATTATTATTATTTTGCTTCAGGCTTCATGAAAATTCAATCGAATTTGGATTTCTTCGAGTTATTTCTTAGATAAAGAACTGCACATAATGGAACATTTGAAAATCCAATAATTGAAGGAAACAAAATGGTGGAGACTCCAGAATTTTTGTGATTTTCAAAAATCTCTGGCGAATATTAAAATGTTTATTCTTCCAATCAGGACCGAGACAATTTTAGATCATCGATTTCTGAAAAGAATGAGCATTCGAACATATGAAACGAACAATTATTCCAGGAGAAACACGTTGTTTTTGGCAAAGTGTTATGGGGTGAAATCCAAATTCGATGGAATTCTGATAAAGCCAGAACCAAACTAAAAGTAATTCTTATTACGGGATTGGCACATTCACTCCATAACACTTTGCCAAATAGAACGT